GCAAGATGACACCCCACATTCATAACTTCAACAATTAATAGCGTCCACACGAAACATCTCGCGCTTCGGTCGTGCAAAACACCTAACCAAACCAGTTCAGCAAGACTGTTATAACACGCAATAATTTATGCATGCAGAAAAAAGGCCTGGACTGGTGTCCGCAGGCCGCAGCACTCTCCAACACTCCCGCTTGAGAAGGTTCCAGTGTTCCAGCGGCACGACAGAGAGGGCCACTATAAGGCTAGCTTCTCGTACACATTTCATTGTCAGCTCTCTCGATAAATAATGTTGTTTGCCGCTGACCTCGCAAACAAACTCTAGAATTACCACAGTTATCCAAGTAAGTGGGTTTACAGATCCAATGAAACATAGCTGATTTAATGAGCCATTCGCGGTTTCGCCTTAACTCGACTTATTACCGTTAGATGAAACAATGCGGTTCATTCCCCCCCCCCTTATGTAAAGCATGAACATTTCCTTCAAGCAAACTCAGTACAACCTGCTGACACACATTCGTACAAACAGAGATCACACTAACGTGATGCATCAAATGAATAAATCCACAAGGGCCGTGACGAGGATTCGAACCTGCGTCCGGGAGCATCCCAGACACTGCCTTAATCGACTGAGCTACGACAGGGTTAAAAGGGTTGAAACCGAAATTCTACTGAACTTACTGGATCCCGTAGCCTCTCCGAGGCACAAACCAGGATTTTACACAACCCCCCCCCACCCCCTTTTAACCCTGTCGTAGCTCAGTCGATTAAGGCAGTGTCTGGGATGCTCCCGGACGCAGGTTCGAATCCTCGTCACGGCCCTTGTGGATTTGCTCACACATTCGTAGCTTCAACGCGAGGGGTACCTATACAGAAGTACATATGGCCCTCGCTCCTGGCATCTAGAAAAGCGAAGAGAGCCACTGATCTGATCATTCGGCGAAAGGGGAAGAGCCCCACTGCTATTCTTTCGTAAGCCACCTATGATTTAAATTACGTATATCGCATGAAGCGACAGAAACATTGTATCGTAAGCACAGATCGACGATCGATGACAGAAACTTGACATTTCGAACATCACACCCGTCATGCCTCCGTCTATTATAAACCAATAGTGTAAATTCGGACTGATAAAGTCACTGTGTTGAAGGAGTGGGCGGGAAGGAGAGAGAGTGGGAGAGACAGAGAGGGAGGGAACAAAAAAATGAGAACGAAAGAGGTGTGGGAGAGGAGAGAGGAGTGGGCGGGAAGGAGAGAGAGTGGGAGAGACAGAGAGGGAGGGAACAAAAAATGAGAACGAAAGAGGTGTGGGAGAGGAGAGAGGAGAGGGGGAGAGAAAAGACGAAAATGGAAACATTAGTCATGCACCAGTTCTGGAGGCTGGTGCTATCTGCATTCCCGCTGGCCTGACCTGAAACGGGAGCTGAACCTGTGTTTCTGGCACACGGACGTCGTGTATACTGTATCTCTCTAATCTAAGCTTTACTTTCAAGACCAATTGCTCTAGTTGTCTGGGTGGAAAGGTTAACATAACAGGAACACAATGCAGCCCTCGAGAGCAACAAATATTTACTTTTTATTTATTTACTGAAATATCCAGGTTTTATTACTATACCTGACTCCCTAGTGTCAAAGCTTATATTAGTGAAGATGTCACGTTGTTCACGAAATGAGGAATAAATAGATTGGAATTTTTTTAATGATTTAGTGTTTTTTTCACCCTCTATCTGGTAGAAGATATTTACTTAGAATGGAAAATATTCACAAAAACATTACGAATAGTCTCACTACTGTTGTGTTTAATTATATATATATATATATATACACATGTATATATATTTTTGTTAATTACGTTAACAAAACCTAAATATCTAACCTAATCTTTGCCAAATTATACATAGAAAATAGTTTATTTACGAAAAGAAACGTTTATAATACACAGTACGTAAAAATTTATCTATTCGTCTTAAGGGACGGCCGCCCCTTCAACGAGCCTGGCCTGAGGACAGGTTTTCCCGCGACAATAGTCAACAAACTTCTCTCGTGAGTCACTCTCTATTTTGGCTTAATATCGCGAGGTTTTGAGTAGATTCCCTTAAAAAAAACGGAATGCTGCACCTTTCTACCTACGTCTCTTTTGTTTCGCATTACTTAAAGTTTTGCAGGACAAAATATGGACTTGTTCTGCAATGCAGGTCACTGCGTGGAGAAACGTTAGGGTGAATTTTAAGAATTTACGACAGAGTAATTACTTACCTTATGTTGTGTTGAAGTTACAGCACTGAACCGCCAGTCCTGCACTCCTGGTGGTACACTTCCAGTCATGAGGTAATTCCACACTTCCTTCAGACTTACGTTCATCAGACTTACGTTCATTATCGTTCATCTTACGTTTACTGTGGCACTTATCACCGCCACAGTAAAAAGTCACTCTCAAATGTACAGGAAAACAGCTTACCAATCCTCTCTCAACCGATATGCTGTCTCACTCAAACACTGAGAGGGGTAAAAAGGAGCCACCCGGCCCCTCAGCTAATACGTCACGCTCGTTACGGAATCAACCACTCCACCACCACCCACGGTATAGGTATAGCGAGCATAATAAAGAAAGAAATCACTAACAATTAAATCACCTTAATGATATTGTCTCTGCGGCTTAAATAGGTTAGGTGGCTTAAGTTCGTAAGTTTTCTATTTCAACCGAACTGTTTATGACCTTTACGGAATGTCAAATCCAGAGAAATGACTGAAACGAGAGCTCTGGTTGCTAGACCTGCTAGACTGCTAGAGTTTGTTTACATGCCCAGGACGCTGGATGCCACACACTTCCAAATAAACAACTGAAGCATGATTCTACCACCTGGGGTAACACCACGGAAGCCTCGCATTATAGACAATCTTTGGTGAATTATAACATACGTGGGATAGTTGGATTATTTCAGGCGTAGGTTAGACATATATATATGGTTGAGTTTGGTGGATATACAGAGGCACTGCTTTGTATAGGCCAATAGACCTGTAGTATCCTTTATTCTTATATTTTTTAAGCATTGCGTTTAATTAATTAATTAATTTATTTATTTATTCCACTTATATAAAAGGTACTGGGTTGAGAAAGCAGATACGTTGGGGGTTCGAATGTAACTACCACACATAAACGAACAAATCCACAAGGGCCGTGACGAGGATTCGAACCTGCGTCCGGGAGCATCCCAGACCACACATAGCATTTCGTTTAATGTCATGTGTCGGTAGTTATCGCGGTCGGCGAACCCATTATTCCTGGGTTCGATTCCTTTTCGCAGGGCGAAACGTTAGGCCACGTTTCCTTCCCCATTATGTGCCTCTGTAACCCTTTCCACTACCGCCCACAAGATGGGTATGGGGTGCATAATAAATGAACTAAACTAACCTAACCTAACTAACTTCACCTACTTCTTTTGTTGACCCAGCAGTAAACTGGGTGCCTGAAAGTCGTTAGTTGTGTCCTAGGAAATGGTCAGTCCGGGACTCCAGCAAATTTTTACAAGCTTCTCCGTCCTCGTCAGTGGGACATTATTTATCTAGCCAGTTGTGACCAGCGAAATTTTCTTGGGTAGTGAGTTCCTCGTGCTGCATTTCACTGTTTTAGTAGTGACCTGCTTCTGCCAGTCTGCGAACGTTGTGACCATTAATCTTATTGGTCTCAGTTTTTAATTACGTGATTCATCACTTTAACACTAAGCAGTTTGTAAATGTTTATTAATGCTATACTTTTCACTCAGAAGTAATACCATTATATAAGCTAGCATCCCTGTACAACTCGGGCATAATATTACATCCATAAGGGAGCCATTGAAAAAGACTTTTTGTTGACACGAGGAAAAAGACTTTTGGTCGACACGAGGAAAAAGACTTTGGTCGTGTTGTTAGTCGCCATCAGACTACGCCGCACACATTGTTATACACAAGTCTTCACTACTACACCAAAATGTTGTAGAATGTGAATGGGACAGTGAGGAAATGTGGATATCATATAAGGTGATAGTGAATAGATCTATAAAAAAAATGAAAGAAAATAAAATTAGTTACTGTAATGCTCTAATAATTTTAAATTATCTTTATTAATTTACATTTTCAAATATATCTAATTTTTCATACAGTGTGCGTGTCATTACAGGGAAGTGAAACACAGTGTGCTGTACAAAATATATTTAATAAATTTTCAGTGCGATTATAATTATATACAAAACAAATATATGTAAGAGTTAGAATACAGAGTTTTTTTTAGTAAATATTTACAAAAATTCCTACAACTGCTTTATTTCTTAGTGTAAATATACATAGCTACCAGTGTCGTTGATGAAATATACCTCCGTCCTCTATCATGTATACATGTCTATCGTGTATACATGTCTATCGAGTATACATGTCTCTCACATGTATACATGTATACATATACATGTATGTATACATGTATACATACATATATATATATATATATATATATATATATATATATATATATATATATATATATATATATATATATATATATATATATATATATATATATATATATATATATATATATATATATATATATATATATATATATATATATATATATATATATATATATATATATATATATATATATATATATATATATATATATATATATATATATATATATATTGCATGTTTTAATAAAAACATTTCCAAAATACTGAACCCTTTGTTTAACTAATAACCATTAGAATATTTACATGATTTCTTCATAAAACATATATAGACATTGTTAGTCAAATTCTAAATTCAATTTCTATTTAGCAAATTCTCGTATCATTTACGACGACTCATCTGGTGGCTGGCGTCTCAGTCAATCTAGGGCCAGATTCACGAAGCAGTTACGCAAGTACTTATGAACGTGTACATCTTTCAGCAATCTTTGACGCTTTAGTTACATTTATTAAACAGTTTACAAGCGTGAAAACCTCCCAGTCAACCGTTGTTATTGTTATAAACAGCCTCCTGGTGCTTCGAAGCTCATTAACTGTTTAATAATTGTAAACAAAGCCGTCAAAGATTGAGGAAAGGTGTTCACGTTCGTAAGTGCTTGCGTAACTGCTTCGTGAATCTGGCCCGTGGTCATTTACCATGTTAATACGTCATCAAATAACCAAACATACACATAGGGAGATGACGACGTTTCGGTCCTTCGTGGATACTTATCAAGTCGAAACGGGTTCAACTTGATAAAGGTCCAAAATGGATCGAAACATCGTCACCTCCAATTTCAACAGCCCCGAAATACATGCACGTTCGTGGGAGCTTTTGCTTTTGTAAACATCTGCTTTTTTGGGAAAATTGATTCTGTCAGTAAAAAGAAAACTTTTGTGCTGGCAAAAATTCTGACAATAGCACTCGTTTCTGGCTACTCTCGTCCGCATTTTCACCTCCAAGAATTATCAATAACCAAAAATTTTTAATGATCAAGAATTATTCATGACACAATCGCCACACTCGACCGTTTCATGGAATATAAATAAACGCATATAAATAATTATCAAATTAAAATCTCGGAACAACAGACATTCAGGAATAAAATGAGAAATAGGTTATTTAATCCCCATAAATATTCTAGCCAATGGGAAGCAAAGATAAATGAATTCACGCGATTACTGGTGAACAAAGCGCATAGAAAACTGACGGAGATGACAGTGGCACACAGTTGGGTTCATGATCTTTTTCTAATCATGCAGTTCTTCGCAAGCTTTTTGCTATTTGGACGAGAGACACAAGTATTAGTAGACAGAGATGAGGATACATTAGATATTCCTTCTGGAAAGATGCAGGATTAGTTAGACATACATGTTAATAAGTTGAGATTGAAGTGTAATATTAAGACAGAAATCACAAATTGAGATTGTTATGTATGAGAGAATTTGTGGGAAGAGATTTTGATCTAACATTAAGAGGCTTAACATTCGGCTATTTTCAATTTCATATCGTGGAAAAATTGTCATATTATCATCTAATCGTAAATATCAGAGATATTTTGATTGAGATTGCCAACCTGCCACGCCTTAGAGCGTAGCAGGTAAAGGGTTTAGTTAGCGCGGAGGCGGGCCAGGTGAACGGTGTGTACCACGGCTCTAAGACGATCCAGAACACTCGCCTTATCCCCTATACTGTAGTGTCGATGCGGCTCCTTCTCCTTAGAATCATGGTCATCGCCATGAAGGATTGTTTGCATGCCTTCAGCTGCCTTTTCTCTTATTGCAACAATTAAGCGAGTCAGACGTTGAGGATCGTCGAAATCTTCGGCTGAAATGAAGAGGGAGGCGGCTTCGCTGCTGATGGAGGGTACAGACGTCCGGGTATTGGTTGAGGATCGTGATGGGCTCTTTCGAGCGCCAGTGTCTTTGAGACGTCGAGTTTCTTGTCCGGAGTCAGACGTCAAGGAAGGTTTTTTGGGGCGCTGGGTTTGTGATGTCAGGCTTGTGACTGGCGGAGAGGAAGAGGTGCGTGAAGATGGCTTGGGCTCCGGGGGAGACGCACTGAATAGCCTTGGCTGCCTAGACGTTGGTTGAGCTCTGGTTGTGGGTAGAGTTGTGGTCCTGGGCCGAACTGTGGTCGAGGTTCGATCACCTATCGTGGATCGAATTCCGCCTTTGGGTTCAACTCTGGGCGAGGGTTGAACACGACGGGGCGTCGGCACTACCGCATTATCAAGCTCCTGGTGACTTGTATGTCTCGAATCATGGTCATGTTCCCCATCTTTCTGATCCTTGTGACCCTTCCAGTTCTCCCCTCGCCTAATACTTTCCACAACCGACTGGCCAATCTCAGGGGCGTCTCCTATGGGGCCGATGGAAGCCCTCAAAGCAGGGAAATCAGGATGCGGATCATAGGAAATGAAGACATGGTAGCCCTTGTCGTCGGCTTTATAAAGCACCGTTTGTAGTCGATTATCAGGGAGCGCCACTCTGAAGCGGCCTCGGGTCTCCTCGCCTACACGCGCCTCGGCTCGGTCGTGGAAGTTCCCGTCTTCAGGAGTATCGACGGCATAGGCGAAGGAGTAGTCTCCAGTCTGAAGAAGAATATGTGAAATTACAAAACTGCTGTGGCTAAACATTAGAGCATTATAATGTTGTTACTATATTATTTAAGTAGAAAAGTTGACATACAGAGTTATATAAACATAAACAGTTTATGCTGTTTGCTAAGCATAAACAGCATTAGTTTACAATCCAGTGGCTTGACACCTGAGATGTCAAGGCCAGGTGGGTAGGGTCATAGGCCTCGACTAACAAAAATTAGGGAAAGTTGACCTAATATATGTCCAGTTATGGGTCAACTCCCACTGACACTGTGGGAGGTCACAGTGTCAGTGAGAGTGTTATGTATACATTAATGTACACACAAACATCACATACATTCACATAAGCTCTTTCGATTTGTATATTTACATACATATCATTGAACAATGTCTACAAGGAATACATAAGTCCGAATACAAATACCTGTACTGGATCCTCACAATCACCTTAGAATCTGTACTTCAGAAATCGGCAGGTACAACACAAGCAAATATAAACAAACTAAATTTCGTTTTATCAGTGATGTATTCTACAAAACATTTAGTAAAAACTTCTGAAGCTTATCAAAATGGTATACAACGCTGGAGTATGTTAACAGCATGATTACAGACACTGTTGTGGAGTATTGCACGATTATAGATAGAATAGTGGAATATAAGATGATAACAAACAATATTGTGGAGAATGGCATGATTGCAGACGGTATATTAGTGTTGCATGAAGTCAGATATTATTATAGGATATAGCATCAGGGTGCATATAGTCCAATCACCTGGTGTCACTAACGCTGTCACAATCATCACCTCCACTGATTGGTCAACAATACCAATACCTTTACTGTTCCTTTGGTTTTTGCTTCATTCTGTTTCTTTCTTTCACAATCCCTTCTTCCTACCACTATTAGAACTACTGTAGAAATATTGTTGCAATAATACTGGTTAATTATGGTAATAAATGACAATCTCCAGACAAAATCCATGTTTGGGTTTTACAAATCTGATTGTTCTCAAAAACAGTTAGTTTCCAAAAATAAAAAAATGGCGGCGTGGGAGTTCAGAAATCCAGTTGAACAGGTGGTCGAGAACCCAAGGACAGCTGCGAGTCGTGAAAGGTCGGGCCAATTGTAAATGACTGAAATGGTGGGGAGAGAGAGAGAGAGAGAGAGAGAGAGAGAGAGAGAGAGAGAGAGAGAGAGAGAGAGAGAGAGAGAGAGAGAGAGAGAGAGAGAGAGAGAGTGTCAGATGTGGGAAGGGAGAAAGAGTAACAGGCACAAGAAGCCTCCTACACTACAGCCATTGAAGCCAGCACGCAGTGAGTAACAGGTAACAGTGAGCACTGTATTTTGAGTCAATATTCACCGTTACTAGTCACGCACAGATTAACCACACAAGCCACACCCGACCATCCCTCACCGACACACTCCACCAACACCCACTAACACGCCTACACATTCCACCAGCACCAACTAACACACCCAATCACCAGCAAAATCAACTAACACACCCATTCCTCATCATTTCCCATTGACACCTACACCCTACCTAACACCCACTGACGCACCCAATCCCCACTACCACCCTACGCCCCCAAGGTGATTGACGCAAGGTGATTGACGCAACCGTAACGACAGCCAAGGAAAGAACCACGCCCCGTCATACGCACATTAAATAGCGATTATTACACACGAAGATGGCACTCGCGGCCCCTCCTGCCTGTCATAGAACCTCAGAACTGCGCAAGAGGAGAAGAACTCAGGCAATGCGGTAGTTGAATCGGCTTCGCAAGTCACTGAATTCGCCTAGACTCGACGTGGGCGCGACGACTATGCACAGATAACTCGTACTTACTTCAGTATTGCATGACAAAGTTGCTTCAGCCGTTACACAGACAGACAACCGGATAATGGCTAAAGACGGTTGTATACGGAAGGCTGTAGAAAGTTGGGGGATGATGTTTGGTAATTTGATGTAATGGTTGGTAATGGAGTTGGGGTCAGTACTTCCGAAGGACGGAGGTGATTGGATGACGACGGGGATGAGGATAATGTATCTGGATGATGAATGGTTGGAAGATGTGATGACAGTGGGTAAGGGAGCAGCGCAAACGTATTAAGGAGGCAGGAAGCAGCGTTTCTGGATGACAGGGAGGGTAAGGACAATGACTATGGATAACTGTAGGGGCAGTGTTTCCAGATGACGGTGAGGGTGGAGTGCAGCCACTCTGGATGACGGTATTGATGGGGATAGTGCTTCTGGATGACGGTAATGCTGGGGATAGTGCTTCTGGATGACAGTAATGATGGGGATAGTGCTTCTGGATGACAGTAATGATGGGGATAGTGCTTCTGGATGACAGTAATGATGGGGATAGTGCTTCTGGATGACAGTAATGATGGGGATAGTGCTTCTGGATGACAGTAATGATGGGGATAGTGCTTCTGGATGACAGTAATGATGGGGATAGTGCTTCTGGATGACAGTAATGATGGGGATAGTGCTTCTGGATGACAGTAATGATGGGGATAGTGCTTCTGGATGACAGAGAGGGTTAGAAAATGTTTCCAGATGACAGTGTTGACAGTGTAAGGATATTGTCCAGGGGAAAGTAGCTTTGGGGGTAGAGGTTTGGTGGTGGTGATGTATAATAATGAGCAGAAGATGACTGTATTCAGTTAAAATGTAACAGTGAAGCCTGTGAATACCCAAACAAGCTCATTCAGTATTCACTCATTCAATACTAGTGAAAATACAACTTAAAATTGCACATATCTATTGAACACAAGCAAGCATGCAAACCCCCAGGTCCCAGCGTACATTCATAGACCTTCAAGGCGAATATACAACTTTCAGAACAATTCACAAATAAAACCCTCGAGAATGACTCCCGGAGCACAAGACTCTTAAACTCCTGGATCTGTGCAAGATATTTGCTGTTTAATGATGACCTGTGATGCCACTGTTGATAAAAGGGGAAAGTAAGAGAGGTGAGGTATCTCTGCTTCTATATTATGACCTGAATTGTGTTCTTCGTTTACCACTTACAGGCTATTCATGCCCGTGCCACCATTGGGTGGCTTAATCTTCATCAATCAATCAATCGTTGTTCGTTCGTAAGAGCGGTGTAGCGAGGAGCTGCTTCATCCGCTTTCTTCCACACCGCTACACACCAAACTCAACAATGGAAGCGTGTTGGTCGATCAAGGTTTACATTCATCAAAACACGTAAGTATCCATCTACGAGACCTGTACATTTATTTGTTTTCAATCAAAGCGGTTTAGTCTGAATTGTCGACATAGTTACGAAGCGCTACGAGGGTTATCTAAAACAATAATAACCTAAAATTGCTAATTTTTTTAGCAATTGCTAAATTTAAGCAATTAAGCAATTGCTAAATTTTAGCTGCTCGATTTTTTTTTAAGAAATACATACTAAACCACCATGATCGACAAAAGATGTACAGGTTTCGTAAGTGGATACGTAAATGCTTGATGAATCCTGGCCACGGATTCACAGTGACACACGCATGTGTATTGAGTCATTTCACGACCTAAACATTCGATACGATCACGTTTGTGTTTACAGACTGTTTAAATAATAATAAATTATATATAATAAATTATAATAAATTACGTTTGTGTTTACACACTAATTAACTTATAATTATTAATATAATACTGCTTCAGTAGCAACACAGGCAACCTTATGCTTCAATGCTTCAGCTGCGCCCTGAAAGATTTTCCTGTCGCCTGAGCATACTTCCTGGAGCCACACGCCTGAGCATACTTCCTGGAGCCACACGCCTGAGCATACTTCCTGGAGCCACACTCCTGAGCATACTTCCTGGAGCCACACTCCTGAGCATACTTCCTGGAGCCACACTCCTGAGCATACTTCCTGGAGCCACACGCCTGAGCATACTTCCTGGAGCCACACGCCTGAGCATACTTCCTGGAGCCACACGCCTGAGCATACTTCCTGGAGCCACACGCCTGAGCATACTTCCTGGAGCCACACTCCTGAGCATACTTCCTGGAGCCACACGCCTGAGCATACTTCCTGGAGCCACACGCCTGAGCATACTTCCTGGAGCCACACGCCTGAGCATACTTCCTGGAGCCACACTCCTGAGCATACTTCCTGGAGCCACATTTAAGAGCCACATCAGCGGCGTCGCGTGGAGCAGCTTGCATTAAGGAACACGATAAGCATATCGCGAGTCAGCCCTTGCCAGAATCTCCCGGATAAATCGTCTTAGTCACCTGAATGTCGAATAAATTTGTTAAGTGGTCAGGCAAGACGGTTACCTGTCATGTGATACTTTTACTGTATGTATAATGTGGCATGTTAAAGTGTTCTCACTGCATTGTATATTGTTGATGTTGATATTGATGTTGATGTTGATATTGATGTTGGATTGTTGATATTGATGTTGTATTGTTGATATTGATGTTGGATTGTTGATATTGATGTTGTATTGTTGATATTGATGTCGATGTTGTTGATATTGATGTCGATGTTGTTGATATTGATGTCGATGTTGTTATTGTTGTTGTAAACAACGGGACATCAACCCTATTCCAATTTTGTCTTATTTTATATTTAAAGGCTGCGATAATGAACGAAAAATTTAATACAATAAACATATGTGATGAGCTTAAACGCTGGGCTCAGAGAACAACCTGAGACACAACACTGTCAACAGGAACTGGGTTATGATCTCTAACTATAATGTCGAGTGTCCAGTCATTATACGATTCAGATCTACCGGTAAGAGGTACCTGGAGCTCGATAAGAGGTACCTGGAGCTTTACAATTACTTGATCCAATTCCTCGATCAAGTTGCAATTACTCGCGTAACCTTGAGGATATCCTCATAATGCGTATAATGTCTGTCAGTTCAGGCTACTGATCAAATACCACTGAATGATTACACACAGAGATCACACCAACGTGATGCATCAAATGAACAAATCCACAAGCATCCACAATG